TATATATATATATATATATATATATATATATATATAAGTGCGTTTTTGCCCGGGCAGCGTTTTGCTGGATACTTGTTATCGAATTCTATCTGTCAAGGTTTCTTGTAAGTGCACACTAACGAGTATGCAAATGGACACTGTTCCTGACTAGGCCCTCCAACCGCCCCTGAATGGTTAGCGTGCGCGCGCTGTATCATAAAGTCTGTCATTGAGTCGACTGGCGTGGTTTCGAATCCCCGGTTGTACGTGCCAAGGAGTGGGGTCGCCCGTCCAACCTCGTGGGTTTTCTCCAGGTCCTCCGGTTTCCTCCCACTGCTGAAGACCCCTATATGCGCAAGCGAATTGTTGAAATAAAATTAAACCATATGTCAGTTTGTGTCGAGTGGACGTTAAACCCCATTTCTCTCTCTCTCTCTCTCTAACCGCCCCACTGTAATCATTATTCAGCGGAATTTCCAATTAATATACAATATTTGTTATGACCAATTTATCAGGAAACAATTACTAGAGTGAATTAATGTTGTGTAGAATATAACATGTTGCGTTATTGATCACCAGACAAGAATCGATCCCAACATATTATACATATACAAATATTGACAAAAAGAAACAGATTTTATAAAGAGACACCTTGCTGAGTAATAATATTCATCTATAAGAACTTGGGTGAAGGAGGTAGAAATTGATTCTATTCGGGTCATAAGAGTGAGCGGGGTAGAAAGACTCCTAAAGTGACACTCCGCTGAGTATTAAATGAAATGAAATGAAATGAAATGGGGTTTAACGTCCTACTGTTCTGCTCCTATACTGGGCTAATGAAGACGGGCATACGCCATACAGTGTGTTATGAGGGAAATTTTGCGCGGGCAGCGGCACTATCGCCTACTCTTATATCGAATTCCAACTGCCAAGGGATCTTTTACGTGCATTCCAATGTTTACACGGGACCTCGGTTTTTCGTATCATCCGAAGTACTAGACAGCTGTCCTTGTCAGGCCCTCCTTCCTGCATCACTGACAAGGGGAAACCACGTCGGAAAATCGGGATGAACTTTCTCTGCCAATGCAGAGATCGAACACTCGACCTCCAGGCTAGCGAGCCAGCGTCTTACCCACCTACCCACCGTGGCTCCGAGTATTAAAGGAGGGTGGGGGTAGTAATTGGGTTTAATGTTGACTAAACAAAACTACTTCACGTCGGGACTTAGGGAATAGTAAATTTATTCTAAACTGGATGATTCGGGTCTATTTGAATAGCAAATCTACTCTAGCTTGGATAATTTGGGGCTGCGAAAATAATCAGTCTACGAGAAGAGTCAATCTACCCTGGACTGGATAATTCGGGTCCACTAGAAAAGATAATCTACTCTGGACTGGATAATTCGTGACTACGAATAGTAATACCTCGCTAGACTGGATTAATCGGTTCTACGAGAAAAGTAAATCTGCTATAGACTGGATAATTCGGGTCCACGAATTGTAATACTACGCTAGGCTGGATTAATCGGGGCTGCTCCAGACTGGAAAGTTTGCGACTACAGTAAAAGTCAATCTACTGAATAATTCTAGCGTGATTGTCCGACTCTAGGGAACAACGCTATACAATTGTCAATGAGGTTGAAATTATGTACGAAAGAATCGAGTATATTGTCACTGGAGTTGAAAAAATTCGATGAAATGTCAGGTATTGTGTTACAACTTTTGGTTTTACAAGACATAAGTTAGATATTGACGTACTATTGGTTTTAGTATTGACCGAACCAAAAAGGCAACAACTTTATTTATTGGCTAACTCTAAAGGTTAGTCTAGTCTATACTAATATTTGTGACTGTCGTTTGTCTGTCTGTTCGGGGTTGGCGGCTACACTAGGTTTGCCCCGAGTCTGAAATTTGGGGTATAGGGGTAGCTCGGACCGGAGAGTAACATAGGCCAGGTCGCGTTAGTCTACCACTTCCGGTTTCGGGGTTATGACCCCCGAGCGAAGCCGGGCATTCTTCTAGTATATAATAAATGAAAAGAAATGGAGAGTTCAACGTTCTGGTGGTCATTTCATTTCCAGTGTAAAAATAAAGAAAATAGGTTTGTATTCAAAGAGAAACCCCCATTGACCTAATAATAACGAACAAGCATTGGTTCCCATTTAAAAAAATAATAATACGCTTTGAAGCGCTTTGAAATACTTTCTGTGTGGAATAGCGCTCTATAAAGGACATTATTATTATTATTATTATTATTATTATTATTAACGGTCTTAGATCTCAAAAGAAGGTCCTGCGAACCTAAAAACAAAGAACTGGTTCCCCTTTAAATAATCTTGGATCTCAACATAAAGTCGACAGAATGTATAATGATAATAAATGTATAATTATTGACACAATGAGATAAACAGATCTAATAGAAAGATTAGTCACAAATCCATTTCCTGATATCTGCTAGCTTATCCTTTATTACATCAGACTGTCATGATAAGAGAGATACGGCACCCACGGGGCAGATGGAATGGATAACTCCTACAATCAGGGTTCCATTACCGCTTATCGTGAAAAGTTTTAATATATATGAGTCAATGTCTATGATGCAGAGTTTCTGATATAATAGCAATACAGTTTATTTGCTTTGTTTGTTAACAGCATTATCGTCGTCGTGGTCGTCAGCTTCGTGGTCGTCATCATCACCACCATCGTTTATAGTGAATGGATTTAATACAGACAGTCTATTGGGCAGAGTTTCTATTTATTATATAATACAGTTTATTTGAAACCACCATCATCATCATCATTTATAGTGAATGGATTTAATACAGACGAGTCTATGTCTATTGTGCGGAATTTCTAATATTGTAATACAGTTTATTTACTTTGTTTGTTAATTAGCATCGCCATCATCGTCTTTATAGTCTATGGCGCAACGTTTCTAATGGAGGTTAACGTCCTACTATTCTACTCCTCCTGGGCTAATGAAGACAGGCATACGTCATACAGTGTGCTATGAGGAAAATTTTGACCGGGCAGCGGCACTTTGGCCTACTCTTATAATATCGAATTCAACTGACAAAGTATACACGGGTCCTCGGTTTTTTGTAACACCCGAACGACTAGACAGCTGGGACAGTTCTTGTCAGGCCCTCCGCTCTGCACCACTGACAAGGGAAAACCACGCCGGAAAATCCCGATGAACTTTCTCGGCCAGCGATCTCCAGGCTAGCGAGCCAGCGTCTTACCCACTTAGCCACCAGCCTCCCCCCCCCCACAGGCCCTAATGTTGTTATAATGTTTATTTGCTTTGTTTATCATCGTCTTCGTCATCATCATCGTTCATAGTGAATGGTGAATGCCCGAATGAATGTCTGGGGTGCAGCGTGTTTAATGTAGCAATAGTATATATACAGTTTATTTGCCTTGTTTTTTTTTTATTTTTAGCATCATCGCCGTCGTCATCGCCGTCATTATCATCATCATTATCGTCTTGATGGTATTGATATAGTGCACGCAGCGCAATTTATTCGCTTTGTTTTGTTTGTTAGCATCATCGTCATCATCATCTTCATCATCATCGTATATAGAGTATGGATTTATAGCAGCTAAACGTCTAACTACCCGCCATCAACATTGATCGTCACCATCAACGTTTCGTCTTTGTTTCTAATACTGTAATGCTATTATCGCCGTCGTCTCTATCAACATCGTCGTCACCATCATCATTTCGCTGTTTCTAATACTGTAATACCATTATCATCGTCGTCTCCACTAACATCGTGGTCATCTTCATCGTTCGGTGTTTCTAATGAGGCAATGCATTTTACTTGCTATATTCATTATCATCAATGTATAGTTGCAGTGTCATTATCCTACATAGGTTAGGAATGACCCAAAAGTACATAGAAAATGATTTAATTCCGTTTAAGTCCGTATTTAGATAGTAAGGTCAGGGTATTGAGTAAAGGGGCGCCGTTTCGAACCCAATGAGTAGGGTCGTTAACCTAACCTCTGCACTGCAAGTGAATTTTTTAAAAACAAAAGACCCCCCCCCCTCTCTCTCTCTCCCTCCATCTCTCTCTCTCGCTTCGTGGCAATTTTTAGTAGCAGATCACATTGACCGTGTCTTTAGTGGCGACATGACTGCTTCCGGAATGTAATTTATATAACTCCAGAAGATGGAACCGAAACATGCGACACTGATCATGGGTTTAACGAGACTTAGGGGATACTCGAATGAACATTCCGGAAGGTGTCTATGGAATAAAAAAGAGAATTTATGACGACATAGCCTGCGCCAGCTCAATTTGTTACTATTAATCACCATAGCTCAAGGGCGTCTTAACGCATGAGCAATCCGGGCAGTTGCCGGGGGCCACACAAGTATAGGGCTCCCATTTTAATATGTATGTTCTGACTGATTCATCTGTGCAGTACAGAATGTTTGTTAATGTTTAAACAATAAATATGTTTAATTTTGTCGACCGTTTACTTCTTTGCACTGCTTTGCCCGGGGGACACCTATTTTGTTGTTGCGACGACTGACTCTGTCATAGTTGACACGTTAGATTACGTTAAGCCTACTTTACGTTACTTATTGATCTTTTAGCGTTTTCTGAAACTCACTCCGGATTACCGCCCTTATTATCGATATATTTTTGACATTCTAACTCATGACGTCATTTTCTCCATCCCTATTGCGGTTTTCTTGTAAATCATTTAATTGCTTTGTTTTTCATTTGGATTGAAAGCTGCATCATTATAGACCCGGGGCATTTTCACCAGGAATTTTTCAGCGCTGTCAGGAATAACGTTCATTTCCAATTTATTAATAAAACTATAGTGGCTTTGGTTATATTGTGTCGATATAAACGCTAAGTTTAGCTACAGAATCAATGAAACTTTCACGAAGCTTTGCTTTGATTATGTGACGTGACGTGACGCGGAAATTCTGCGAAGAAGCTTAAACGGTAATCTCCTAAAGTTCATATTGAGTGTAAAGATTTGTTTTATTTTATCTTTCAGACCATAGATGACGTAGCCTGGTTACCATGGAGAACAACTCCTTACTAAAACCGAAGAGCAGCTTCCGTAAGCCGAAACATCGTCCTCTGCAAGAGGAGGTCAGCGTGTGTACGTCGAGATGTTCCCGATCCAGCACCGCCACAGTTAAACCATTTTTCACCCAACCGGCGTGTCCCGAACTGCTTTTATTTACTCTGTTTTACACTCTAAATAGCTTCTTTGTACAAATCGCCGTTGTATTCCTCATCTCGCACGTGATCTCTATAGAAAAACGATTCACACTGGATGACCACTTTTCAACTTTCGTTATACGATGTGTGGAGATAAGCTACGTCTGCGCTGTGATATTTATGACGCACTTCCTGCGACGTTGTCATCTGCCTAGAACCCTACTCATTTCCGCCATTATTAATGGATTTGCAACTATATTTGTGTGTGTTATTTATATGACAAACCCGGATCGCGGTTTGATTAAAGGGGCTTCGAACTTAACCCGGACCAAAGTGTCTTATTTATGCAATCCTACAAACTTAACAATTTCTGAAGCATGTAGCGTAGACAGTATTAGCAGTATCCACGAAGATGTTCGACCTGAATTAGAATGGCTGTTGATTGGTTGTATTATGTTGCTAGGGGTAACCATGTCATGTCGTCTGCCTTTGTCGTCTGTTTATATAGAAACCAATATACCAGATAAATACAATTCAGCATTTTATATAGGTAAGTTGTCATAGCAACCGAATTAGACATCACTTCATTGATAAATAGTGGGTGTCGTGCTCGACTTCTCATTGTTGTTCCTCTTTGTCGCTTTGTAAGAAGATGCGGTTGTCGTCTACGGTGTGGGTACTTCGGTACCCCACTCTCCCGCCTCTGATTCCAGCGAGCAGGAGAAATTGGTCTCTCTAATTGATGAAAACACCTGTATCTCGGCAATTATTGTTAAGTACTAGGATAAGGTTATATACCACCCTAAAGTAACATGCTTGCAAATTTCATATCCGCTCCGACATGGCGGGAAGCCTGTCTTATTTTCAAATGATGTTTAACTTTTTATAACCAATGTCGCTCTCTGTCTGTGTTCCGTCCCGAACATTGCTTATCATCCCTTCATATTTTAATTATTTTGGTCAACAATTAGTAATATGCCTGGAATTGCCATGCCGTTGCCTTTTTACCGCGTGGGAATTAATTTCAGTTTTGTTTATATCTCGGTACTGAAGACCAGCCATGTTGGGCCTAGTTATCCGGAACAGCCCAAGAGAACCAGAGGTGTAGGTTTGGCTTTAAGTCGTTTCGGCCTACTTGTATGTTTAGGTAGTTGTTTCGGCACAGTAAAATATAACTTGTTTTTAAAGAGCTATTTACGGGATCCCAGACCATCATTGTTTCTCCGACTGACTTGAATATTTAATTTTCCCCAGTCATACGACTGTAACTTTTGATACATACATACAAAGTTTAGCTTCATATTGTACGTGCTGAACATTTTACGCGGTTACGGATATATCTGTACTCAATGTGAAGGAAATCTCTGTTTTTTGAAATTTTATGTCGTTTACTATTATTCATTTTATTCTGTTTCTCAATATAACTGAATAATTGCTTGATACATTCCTTGACATATCGCGTAATTTTCATCTCGAAATTTTAGATAACAATAATCCATTATTTAATTGGTTATATTTTCTACGATAGGTTTTTGTCTTTTCTACTACAATATCTTGAACAAATCTTGTTAGTCCGTCTAACGCGAATCTAAAACGAAATGAATACCGGTATGCGAAACTACTGTAAATCAATAATATCATAAGAAATGGCAATATTTTTCGAGTCGGATTGTCACATGGAATACAAATGAAGACTGGGGTAATGAAGACGGGTTAACACCATACAGTGTGCTATAAGGGAAATTTTACCCGGCGCTAAGGCCTGCTTTTATAAGTTGAACAAGGCTCTACTTCCTCACCACTGACAACTGGAACCACATGAAAAATCTGTAAGAGTTTTCTCCGCCAATATCAGAACTCTACCCTGACTACCCCATTGTGATTGAGTCAGCGTCTTTCTTACTGAGTCGGCCATTATTCACTTGACCACAGTGGCTCCTATAAATTGAAAAAGAGGCATATCGGCTTATCAATCAGGCAATTGGTGTCAGTTCCGAATAAAAAAAATATCTTACCTCCCGTGCATTGTGTATTGTGTGACACGACACACCCAGTGGTGTTGCATCCTTCACATGACAGAAGCCTACTGTAAATAGAAAAGAAATGAAATGAAATGGGGTTCAACGTCCTACTGTTCTATTTCGACTAGGCTAATGGAGACGTGCATACGCCATGCAGTGTCCTATGAGGGAAATTTTTCTCGGACATTGACGCTACGGTCTACTCTAATATCGAATTCCAACTGCCAAGGATCTTCAACGTGTACACTGGGGTCTGGGACCTTGGTTTTTCTTCCCATCCAAACGACTAGACAGATGTCCTTGTCAGGCCCGCAATGCTGCACCACTGACAAAGAAAACCACGCCAGATTTAATGCAACAGACAGTAGGGATTACATATTTGTATTTATACATGTTTTTATTTCCAGGTATATCGATGTTACCGTGTTTCCTTAGTGTTCCGCTGTCTCTAGTTTTTACGCCAATATTCGCAGACATTCCACAAAATCTTTCAGGTAAGCTGATAGCCATTGTTTACCTTTGGCTTTGTATAGTCTACTTGCCAACCATCAATCTTAGTCGTCATGACATTCGCTTTAAAACCATAATGAAACGGCTTGTTGACCGAGTCTATGACAACCAATACTCTTGGTCAGTAGGACATCCGCTTTAAAACACTGCCTTACCATCAGACGGCTTTGTGACCGAGTCTATGACAGCTATTAACCTTGGACGTCATGACATCCGCTTTAAAACAGTACCTTACTCCCAGACAACTTCTTGGCCGGGTCTCTGCCAAATAGAAGCACGTTATTCTATAGCAAAATAAAACGATTCAGTGATGAGGAATAAAAACAAGAGACCAGCTGCTGCAAAGAATACAATTTAGACAGGATGTCGCGGATTCACTTTCTCCTCGTTTTGGCCCAGTACATTATTATTTTAGACATAAATAAATGATCCTAATCTTGCAAATAAAAATAAAATGGGGTTTAACGTCCGTGTTTTCTGCACCAACTGGGCTCATGAAGACTGACCTACTCCATACAGTGTGTTATGAGCTAACTGTACCCGAACAGCGGCGTTTCCGCCCTCACTTCGTCCAATTCCAAATGTCAAGGGTTCTTTTACGTGCACGATAGACGCGGTTGCTTGTCAGGTTATCTAATTTTCACCACTGAAATGGAGATGCCACAGGGAACTTTCTCGGCCAAAATCGGGATCCATGTCGGGACGTTCTAATTAGTGAGCTAGTGTCTTACTCACCGAAAATAAGAAACCAGATACATAACTGTGTTCCACGCACAAAAACACCGAGCAAACCGAGACAAAAGAAAACAAACATCCTGCTTTTCTTCAACGACTGGGCTAATGAATACGGGCTTACTCCGTGCCCTGACAGCGGCGCCACGACCTACTTTTATTTCGACTGTAAAAGGTTCTTTTACGCGAATGTCAATGCGAACCTGGGATCTCGGGATTTTGTCGTATCCAAACGCCACCGTCCTGATTAGCGAGCCAGTGTCTTTGTCCTCCGAACCACGACAAAAGGATACTAGATTTTAGCTATATATACTTTCATATACCAGATTGGTGCATCCTTCGTCTTTGTTTCAACAACCCGATGTAGAACAATAATTGGAATACCGAACAATTGGGATACCGAAGCAAGTTGGGTTCGGGCAGATTTCTACAACTGTCCGCGGCGAGTAATCTCCCTTTCTCTGATATCTGAATACATGGGGGTGCTCGATTGACAGAATTCACAGAATTGCAATCGAGTGGCGTGGAATTGAGTTCTGCTTCCTGTTAGTCCTGACAACAAAGGTGGTGCGAGTAGAATCGTGACGTAACTAAAGATAAGGAATATGTTTCAGTTGTTACAGTTGTTTGAGATATTTTCTTGTTCATTCGACGCATGAGTTGTAGCACAAAATCACCTTTTTTTACCCGATTGTCACTTCCCGAACGTTCGATCGAGTATCCATATTATATACGAAGGAATAAGGTATATTTGGTACGCAGAAATATAAAATACTGTATGTTCAGTAGCCAAGTCTTTAACTCAATATCATCCACGGGCTGCGACATTGAAAACACGAATTATTTGTCAATTTAAATCAACATCGATGTTGTGGTCTTACTGGAAAAAGATGGGCTTCTGAAATCCAATATTTAAGATAAAATAAACATTTTACGATTGGTAAAGGAAATGTGTACCAGAATGCGTTTATGTCCATTTTAAACAAGGGACTCGAAGAACGAGACTAACATATTCCACAAATCGTGTCGAACGGTGACCTCATATACTTATCCGGCGAGCATGCGCAATAAATACTATCGTTGTAGACTGGAATAACCAGACGCTAGAGATTGCCATTCGATTGAGAGTAAAAACGGAAGCGATTAAATGTAAATCAGTTTATATACATTCATATTACATTATTATATGCGTTGCGACCCATTTGTGTCGATTTCTAGATCCCAAATATTAGCGATTGAGCTCCTTTAACCATGTATCGCTTCAAATGACTCATTCCTTTTATATTCTCGGTGCACTGGTTGGAAACATTAGTGCATAGTTCTAGCATTTTCATGTGCTATAAATTTGGCGGTTATTAAGGTATAAGAACTTTTTAAAAAGTACCGAAAGACCTTATTGTTCGGACTCGCCCTTGTCTCTTTATTATCTTTCTTTACAGTTTGGCCTGGCTAAACATTTTGGCTCTGTTTGACTAAACAGGTTTGGCTCTATGTTACTTTACAGTTTGGTCATATCTGACTATGCGGTTTGACTCTTAATTGACAATTCCGTCTTGACCTTATTTGACTATACAGTTTGACTCTAACTGACTTTACAGTCTGACCTTAATTGACTATACAGCTTACTGTATTTGACTAAACAGTTCGATTTAATCCATTGCAAGGATTTTTAATAATTATTAGTTTAAATATATAATTATTAGTTTAAATATGTATTTGCAGGTATATCATCGTCGGAAACAAGTGATACGGAAATAGAATGGTGGTTAGGCTATATTGTGTTAGGCGTATCGACGATGGTAACATCTCTACCGCTGCTCTACTTTCCACCAAAACTAAACTCTATAGAAACTCGAAGACTTATTTTACCTCAATATACATTTCAACAAACAGCCACTACATATATAAAAGGTAAGTAGCATGTACAGTTAAATCGAGGTATGTCGAATCTATTTTTAGTGAAAGACAAAAACGCCACGCATTTTACTAAGGTTATAATTATATAACAACCACTAAATATATAAAAGGAAGACATGTTTTACAGTTAATTACGATACGTCGAGTCAAGTATATTGAACGACAAAAGAAATGTTACATTTAAGAAAGTCAATTTTATCAAACATGCACTATACAGATAAAGAGAATATTTCTTTTGGGGACCGAAATGAAATGAAATGAGGTTTAAAGTCCTACTTTTCTGCACCCACTCGGCTAATGAAGACGGGCATACCTTTGTAGTGTGATATGAGGGAAATTTTGTCCGGACAGCCCCGTAAATTTCAACTGCAAAGGGTTCTTTTAGGTGCACGCCATCGTGTATACGGGTTTCGTACCATCCGAACGACTAGACGATCGATGGAACTCAATAGACCATTTGGTTTTTTTTTACATTGATTAGCAAAATATACAAGGTGAAAATTAAATTATACCTAGTGCAATAGACTTTGTTAGCTCCCTTCACTCGTTTATTTGTATTAATTGTAAAAAATTAGAAATTCCGTTATGTACTAACTTTATTTTGTTAGCTTTTAACTGGCATGTTTTGTCTTTTAATGAATAATTTCAAAGCTAGCTGTGTCTATAAATAAAATGATAATGTGTCGAATGTATATATTATTGTGTTAGCGTCCAACCCTCGTTTATTGTTTATCGTTGTATAATTTCAGAGCTCCCTGTATCTATTTATAGAATAATAACATGCCCGGTGTACGTACTGGTGTTAATGGGAATGTGTTTTATCAATATGTCATACTATGGGTTTTTATTCTACTCGCCTCCATATCTCATGACACAGTTTCAACTCGCATCCCACACAGCTACCATGACACAAGGTGAGTTTTAACTCGAGTTGTTCATACTTTATCGCGATACGAGATTGTGATTAAAACGTAGAGCACGCCAACAAGGGTTATTCATGTTTTATTGCGGTGCAAGGTGAGATTTAAAGCGTAGGGCATATTAGCCCGAGTTATTCATGTTTTATTGTGATGCATGGTGAGATTTAAAGCGTAGGGCATAATGATACGACATTAGGGTTGAAATGTAGAGTATATCAACCCGAGTTATTCATATTTTATCGTGATACGAGATTAGAATTAAAACGTAGCGTATGCTAACCCGAGTTATTCATGTGTTATCTGCAAGATGAGATTTAAAATGTAGAGTATGACAACCCGAGTTATTCATGTTTTGTCATGAGCCAAGATAGATTTTAAGCGTAAAGTATATTAACCCGAGTTATTCATGTTTTATCGTGATACAAGATTAGATTTAAAACCTTACTATATCAACCCAAGTTATTCATGTTTTATTGTAATACAGGATTCGATTTAAAACGTAGAGTATGCCAACCCAAGTTATACATGTTTTATCGTGATACGAGATTAGTATTCAAATGTATAGTACATGTATGCCAACCTGAGTTATTCATGTTTTATTGAGACCGAAAATAATCATGTCGTGTAAAGGTCATAGTCCACATTATGAAACTTTTTTCAAACTATGCAGCAAAAAGTAAGAAAACCCTTTCCCGCTAAGATCTATTGTTGATCCCTGCCATAATATTCCTTGCAACGACTGATATAATAAGGATTGAGGTAGACAAACATGGTATAAAATGGTATATCTAGGAGTGCGTTGCTCTATATTACATTTACAACGCGGTGTATTATTTATGTTATAACGCGATGTATTGTTATTACGTGTATAACTACTACAACGCGGTGTATATCTAGGGTGTATTATTTATGTTACACGTATTACGTGGTGCATATGTTACACGTATTACGTGGTGCATATATGTTACAGGTATAACGAGGTATCTTTGTTTATGTTACATATATAACGCGGTGCACATATAGCGTGTGTTCTTTATGTTACAGGTACAACGCGGTGTATATCAGCTACTATAGGTGTATTGCTGGGTGGTTATTTAATCAGTGGTTATAAGTTTAATATTAGAGAATGTATTCGACTTATACTCGTCTTGTATCCAGTGTCTACAGCATTAAATGCATTCACTACCTTATTTGGATGCTTTGGGCCATCGATACAGGGTTATCACAATAGGTAAGGTATATTGGCGCTGTTCTGGTAAAATTAGGAGTAATCAAATAGAGTCACAATGTATAATCAGATAGAGTCAAACTGTATAGGCAAATAGAGTCAAATAGTCAAATATGTCATTTTATAATTTTTATTTGGTCGTTTTTGAATCAGCCATTGTCTTGTAGGATATGTTTTTATTTTTCTCATTACCAATGACACCCGACTTGTGTACTGATTTTAACATGTTCATTTTATCTTAAATATTGGATATTAGGATCTCATATTTTGACGACAATATAATAACATCAATATTGATTGAATTTGACCAATATTGAATTCGAGTTCGTGTTTTTACGATGTTACTGATTTTCTACTGTCGATACATTGGAATCTTTGAACAGAAAACTTTATTTATGTAGAGCTTGTCCTATCACTAACCGAATGAACACCTTTGGAATGTACATTTTATTTTATATCTTAAACAGCACAAACCAACTTGACTATCAGCAGTTACCCGGATGTTACTGTTCGGAATCTTTATTTCTTCCAACTTGTGGCGATGATGGCCGATCTTATTATTCTCCATGTGTGGCTGGCTGTCGGAATATGTCGGAAACCGTAAGTACATTTATTTTTCTAAATTTCGTGAAAATTTCTTTCGTGTTACATTTGCGAACTGTAATACTGTTTTGCTGATGTTACATATATCCATAATATGTTGTTCGTTGCACAGGTTATAATAAATGAAATGGGGTTTAACTTCTTATTTTTGCTGCATCAATGAAGTGGGCTCTGGGGTAAATTGTGCCCCTACACTTGCGTTTCCGCCCATTATTCATTGAAGTGCACACTTAAAGATATATTCTCACTAAAGTATTTATAGAGTGGTTACCCCCAATAAAAGTTTGGCAAATTTGGTATAAATGGAAAGTAGAAAAATACTAGATTCCCTGATAAATACCCACGAGGTAAGCACTGGGATGTCAGGGTATCACTAACTGTCAGCCCGAAGGCTTATTATTTGCCAGCTTGACTTAGGGAGCGGCTGTTATTTCTTGATCGAATGGCTAGGCGGTTTTGGGGACGTTGAGGACTTTAAACGTAAACAATTAAACGGCGGTGAAAAAAAAATTGGCAAAGGATAATACAAGAATTTTCTTGGCAAATGGACAGTTACTAACGACAAATACATTCTGATAATGCCGCCTCCCCCCCATAATCAAGTCACATGACACACATGGCTTCTAAAAATAGATTTTTTTTACATCTTGGGATATTTCCTCGCGAATTTTTGATATATCATCAAATCACACAGTTTGTATGCGGGACGGCATCTTTGATAGATATTATTATATAAGACCTGATGAACAGTTTAATTAACTAAACAAATTCTACGTCTCTTGACAAAGCCCTCAGTTGACTCAATCTTGTAAATACGTAAATAACCCTCACCTGTATGTCATGAATATGAGCGGAGTTGTAAATAATGTTATATGTGTTTGTTCTGTACCAGATGTTTATTTGTGCCAGACCCCCTGACAAGACGAAGAACTTTCTCGCTCTACATTGGGGTCGATCCGTCGACCGCCCTTTAACACGAGCCCCTTTAACAGTAGTCCCCTATATGTATGTAAGACATACAAGATATGTTATGAATATTAACAACATTTTCATCTGTATTCTCATAATTTCAAGGGATTTATTTTGTTTATGAATTGTTTCCAGGGCTTCATAAAGTGTAATACTGGTGTATTAGGAACAGCCAGGTTGGGATTATGTGGTGATGAATGTACCTATATATATCCTTATATAGGAGCTCAGATGTTGGCCGATATATTCACAGCTATGTTAATTCTACCGTCTTATATTATACTGATGAGGTGAGCAACTTATTTCACTTAATTCCGTATTTTCACTTAACTATTTATTATAGGTCTTATTTCAACCATTTCACTTAATATTCTCATTTCACTTAATATTCTCATTTCGCTTAATAGTTTTACTTCACTTAGTATTCTCATTTCAATTAGCCCAGGTTAGGAGCAGAACAGTAGGACGTTAAACCCCATTTCATTTCATTTCATTTAGTTCAATTAATATTCTTAGTTCACTTAATCTTCTTTTTCAATAAATATTCTTATTTCATTTACTATTCTTATTTCACTTAATATTTTCATTACACTTTCTATTCTTATTTCTCTTAATATTTTCATTACACTTTCTATTCTTATTTCGCTTAATATTTTCATTTCAGTTTCTATTCTTATTTCACCCCTATTCTCAAAAGGGGTATTAGGTAAGATTAGATAAAGAGTTGGCAGTTCTCGCTATAATGATTTAAAAAATAGATAATGAAAAAGAAATATGCTGAAAATCTCAGTCACATTTCTTCAATCTGAACCGAGATATTACAAAACGTATTCAAATCCACTAAATATCGCAGGCTAACTATGGCATCGACGGTTGATAATTGTCTTGATGAGTTAATTAATGTATAATTAATCATTTAGATAACATTTAAGGCATAAAACAGGCCCACAAATAGGAAGATTTAACTAAAGCATAAATATCGCAGGCTAACTATGGCATCGAGGGTTGTTAATTGTCTTGATGAGTTAATTAATGTATAATTAATCATTTAGATAACATTTAAGGCATAAAACAGGCCCACAAATAGGAAGATTTAACTAAAGCATAATGCATGTTCAATATTCTCATTTCACTTAATATTCTTATTACCATATTTCCACTTACTATTGTTATGTCCACTTAAAGATACATCATGCAATAGATAAATCTGCCTAGTGCATGTCTTTCTTTAGGCCTGAAATGTTATATAAACTATTAATTAGACATTTATTAACATGACAAGACCATAATCAACTCTCGATGCTATCGGATTGGTCCGATTTCAAGTAGATTAGAAAGGTTCATTTAATGATTTAATTTATAAATGGCCAAGCGAGGCAAAGCCTCGAACAACGAGTATGGTGGTTGCAATCAGTGCACACATCGTGTCATACCTTCAAAGGCTAATAAATATCTTCGCTCAAAATAAACTAATTTTAATGAAATTTTCAACAGACTCAATTTGCATTATCTTTATTTGAACTTTTGTAGCGCGAACGACCAACGCTTTATCTAAATCTTATATAATGTATATTTAATATTCTTAATTATTTCACTTAATATTCTTATTCCACCTTAATATTCTTATTTCACTTAATATTCTTATTTCACTTAATATTCTTATTTCACTTAAAGATACATTATGGGAGATAAGATAAAGAGATGGCAGTTCTCGCTATAATAGTTAAAAACCAGATAGTGTAAAGGTAATTTGCTGAAAATTTCAGTCAAATTGATCCACTATGAGCCGCGAAAGAAGCCGGTGACATTTTTGCATAGTCTCGGTTATCATTACTAAAATCATTAATATAAACAGCATAGTCTCGATTATCCCACTTTTTCTAATTTATTATCTTTGGCCGTTAGCGGCATATAGGAATCTAATCCAGCCTACATCGAAGGCTAGCCTTGACATCGAGAGTTTATTATGGTCTGGATAAGTTAATTAATGTCTAATTGATAATTTAGATAACATTTCAGGCCTAAAGAAAGACTTGTAATAAGCAGATTTTGCTCTTGCATAATGCATGTTTAATATTCTTATTTCACTTAGTATTCTCATTTTAATTAATATTCTTATTTGACGTAATCTTTTTATCTCATTTGCTATTCTTATTTCATTTGCTATTCTTATTTCATTTGCTATTCTCATTTCACTTAGTATTCTAATTTCACTTGATATTCCTATTTCACTTGATATTCCCATTTCACTTGATATTCTTATTACTGTTCTTATTTCAATTTACTACGCTGAAGACTAACGGATAATTATATCAATGATTACTTAGCGCTCATGGGTGTTTATCAGGGAGAAGAATCAGGTAAAAAAATTTACGAGGTTTTGTGGAAAAGGGATGAGGTGAGGCGTAACACACTGCTGTTTCAAAAAAACAACAAAACAACTTTTAGGCATACGTATACAATGACCTCACTATTTATTTTTCAGGAGTATAGGGGATGAAGATAAACCATTAGCCTTGGCCATCATGACCTTTTTTATAACACTATTAGGTAAGTTAATCCAGCTAGCCTTGGTCATCATGACATTTTGTATACCACTGTTATGTAAATTAGGTCACCACTTGTTTCAGAATTTTAAAATGACCAGACCTGTCGATGTTATAACTGTCGATGTTATAACGTGTTGGTTTATTTTGTGGGATGATAAAACCAGTGTTGAGATATAACCGATTGTATGTAACACTGTAGGCAGTGCAGTCCAAATTATAAACTAAAATTAATATAATTCATCTTAAACATACATTATGCAAGAGCTAAATCAGCCTATTGCAGGTCTTTCTTTATGCCAGAAATGTTTTCTAAATTATTAATTAGACAACAATTAACTGATCCAGGCCATAACCAACTCTCGATGGCATCTGATTTCTTCAATTTTAAATAGATTAGAACGGTTCAGCGATATTTTAATTTTATTTAAAAATTGAGGAGCGAAACTTAGCTTCGAACAATGAGTACTTCTGGTAAAACCTTCAAAGGATAATATTTTCGCTCGCAATAGAGTAATTGGCATGAGATTTTCAAATTATTCATTTTGAATTATCTATTTTGAACTATTATAGCAGGAATGGCTACCTCTTTATCTAAATCTTACATAATGTATCTTTAATATTTTGAAACATAAAATTAATTGTTTACAGCTTGTCCTCTTACATCCAAAATCAAAGAGGTATAGTCCCGTTAAAATCAAAACTTGAAATTTATTTAAAACGAAATAAAATAAAACAAATAGTTAATTATATTTTTGGAAAGAAATTTAAGCTTTAGACATATAGTTTCCAAGTAGAAAATATTCTTCGAACTATATATTTGTGGCGGATTAATAGCAGTGTCAGTAATCAATGATGGCCGTACAGTTTAAGTGTATATCTAAATGTAGTTCTTTGTCGATGGTATCGGTGAATGTATTGCTATAAAGCCATCGCGGGAAAAGAGTTTGTTATTGTAACATAAACACTTGGGAGCCGCGGTGGCTAAGTGTGTAAGGCGCTAAGCAGATCTCGGTGTTGGTAGATAAAGTTCCTTGTGATCTTCCGGCGCGGTTTCACTTTGTCAGTGATGCAGGTCCGAGGGTCTGGCAAAGCACAATGTCTAGTCGTTCGGATGAAACGACAAACCGAGGCCCCTTGTACACCTTGGCGGGCACGTAAAAGAACACTTGACAGTTGTAATTCGAAAAAAGAGTAGGTCGTAGGCAAAATGTCCCTCATGGCACTCAGTATGACGTTGTCCCGTCTTCATTGGCCCCTTCAGTAGGACGTTAAACCCCATCTCATTCCGTTCTCATAAACATAATATTAATGTTTCAGGTTTTATAGCAGCACCTGTATTATTTGGCTACGTCATCAACACAACTTGCCTTATATGGTCAAACATATGCACAGGTGACGGAGAATGTTTATTGTACGATCTGACCAATCAACGAGTACGATTAAAGCTGTTAGAGTTGGGTGTCTCCATATTAGGGGTGTTATTTTTTATATGGGGGTACTTGGTGTTCGAGACACAGGAAGAAAGAATTGCGCATGTGCTTAAAGAAACGAAGAAGAAGCGTGTGAATTCAGTACATGGAGAAAAACACAAACATAAACCTGGTTTAACTCATTTGTGATGTTATACATAGGGCCTTTACACATCTAGGCCTATTGATGACTTGTTTATCTATGTTTCAAAGGAGCAATGACCAATTAACTCCCCCAATCTCGATACCGACGATTGGCGTTGTTTCAATTTCTATTACATAAATTGAGAACAGAACTGGATATTTATTTAAGTGGTATTTGAATTATTATTTCTAGAACACCTGATAGCACGTCTGTATAACGAATTCACATAACTAACGCGTTTGTTTATGAGTTCATACAACTAATACATGTCCATATAACTTATATTACACGTGTATATTGATGAGATCGTGTAACTAACACGTTTGTTGATGAGTACATGTAACTAACGATAGTTTGTTGGCGAGTTCATATAAATTACAGGTGTATATTGATGAGTTTATATTACTAACACACGTGTGTTGATGCATGTAACTAACACAAGTTTGTTGGTGAATTCATATAACTTGCACGTGTTTATTGATGAGTTCGTATATCTAACACGTGTGTTGGCGAGTTCATATAAATTACACGTGTATATTGATGAGTTCATATATAACTAACACATGTATTGTTGACGTGTTCATGTAACTGACAAAAGTTTGTTATCTTTCATTTGTAATTTACCAAGATTGTTTATTGTATATATTCATATTATTATTGTTTGCAGTGCATTATTATTTATCATTATTTATTATTATTAAAGATATTTTTACAATCAATTTTACACGAATTAAAATCTTATAAAATTAATCAGTTTCCACGTTTAATAAATTGAAGTACGGGAGGTAACTCTCGCGACGTATATGGATGCAGACCACCATTAATTTTCCCATTGACTTCAATCTTAATTCTGGCCTCTTTGTCCACCTCCAACTTTTCCCAAAATTTTCTTTGGGCTGAATGCTTTTCACTACAGACAGAGGAACAAATGGTCATGTCTTTGCACTAAAATTTGTATGAGGTTGACCACTCAAATTTGAGATACACAAACTTGAAGAAGCATACTAAAAACATGTAACTAGCTGCCGTACAGATCACCGTAGCCAACCTGACAACCCCGTTATCCTTCCACCTCAAATCATGATTATTTAATAAAACCTTGCAGAAAATGTTAATTTAAACCCTCTCCGTCCATTCTAGACCAAAAAATCACCAAAAATGGGCATGCAAAAGATGGAGAAAAGAGACAGGGAGAATTGCTATAAATAAAAGAACTACAATTTGTGGGTACCGAGATGGTGAAATTTAATGGTGGCCTGCCTCCATTTTGCGTATCAGGTGACCATAGGTATTTTGCTAGTGTGTAGCCTAATATGGCAACATTAGGGGGTTTGACGTCGATTATTAAATCACAAAACTAAACAACTGTAGTTATACAATATAGAAAGACAACATGACAGTTCTTACAGTGTAACTAGGGGGTCTCAGTTTCGCTCCCGGTGTTAGCACAAACACAAAACAAACGAAAAAAAACCCAATCAATATGTATAACTCTATGTCTTGTAAATTGATTTACAGTCGGGTTTAACGTCCACTGCCATTCGGGGTGAGAAGGCAGACAAGTGTTTCCTAGGAAACTTGCGAAAGGAGCCAGTCGTAAAATGAGAGGATGACCTGGCGGAGGTTGGTCATAAATGAGAGAGTAGTAATTATACCATTTTCATTTCTTTATTTAGAGAGGCTATCATGCCTTTGTTATACTTTCGATGACCTCTACTGCATAAAGATCTGACCAGTTGTACTGGGTCACACATTCACGTTTCTAGCAGGATATCCACAGTTCTATGCATCGCATGCCAAGAACACGCTGCAACAAACCATTTCATTGGCTAATCCCCCACATCAACCAGAACGCGGTTTATATAACAACTCTTCCAGATCATGGTGTAGTGAAGACAAATCAAACGAAATTTGTAACTATAAAAAACAAAACGAAATATGATCTGTGTTTTAATCAGATTGGCCTTTTGAGTTAGTTATTCAAGGGAGGTAATAACTCTGTCTCTTTGCCCGACGCCAACTCTTCCCCAAATTTTCGTTGGGCTGAATGCTTTGCGCCAAAATTCGTATGAGGTTGACCAGCAATATTTTGAGATATGCAAACTTGAAGGAGAGAGGTTTTTGTTTTTAAAAATTCACTTGCAGTGCAGATTTAAATAGAGGAATTTTAATGACGGTCTACCCCCAAAGGTCTTGCATCCAGAAGTGAGAAAGGACATAGCCGAAATGACAGTAATGGTATTTTAAGGACAATGTTCTTTTACTGAATACACTAGTGCACGTACCAGATCGTGGACTGAATATGGACAATCGTGTCGCAACGCATTGCACGACAGTGGGAACCTAGCATAACTACACTTTTGCGTTTGGTAAAGATTGTTTAGAAGGGCGTTAACCCTATTTCATTCATTTTACATTTAGCGAAGCAAATTGCAAATAAAATTATTGGTATGGCGGTGCGTACGAAGCCAAGGCGGCACCACAATTCAGTAATTTAACAATAAACATTTTACTCAATTGCAGAAATCTAATATGGCGTGGATTACAGATTATATTTAGAAAATCAATTGAAACAATTCCTAGACGATGTATTCTCTATTTGGAATGAAATATCTCAGAAAATGACTTCACAAGCTCCCAGAAAATGAAGACATGGGTTCATTGTCGTTATGATAAATAACGCTCACTATCCTGTAGAAATCGTAACGCTCTGATTTTAATAGTGCATTGCCATTTGTCTTAGTGCCGTCTTTCCATAGTTGTGTCAGCCATTATTACATACGTGATAGAACTGGTTAAACACATTCTAATGATCTCTGTGTTAAAATTATATTTTGAATGTGTTTAACTAGCTCTATCACATATGTAATAATGTCTGACACCAATAGTGCCCTTTAAAACATATTGAAGCAGCCACCTCACCCTCTAACTGTGAAACCAGGGGGCATAATTGTAACATTAGATAGAGAATATGTCATATCGCATGGTAAATATGGATGCAGCATATTCGTCTGATATCAGAGACAGATTTGTCCTAGATAGAGTACAATATGAGTACGTCATATCATGAATAAATCATATTAATCTAGTACCAGAAACAGATAAGATAGAGAATATGAGTACATCATATCGCATGATGAATATGAATATATCAGATGGAGAACACCAGCCACAATTAACATCTAGTATTTCAAACTTTCAACAATATTATTCTACAGCGTTATCCTACAACAACAGACCAGTTTTAAATTCGAAAACGGGCTAACATTCTAATTTTCTTTCTACTGTTATGAGTGCTGTCTGGCAGGGAGAATGTACATGGAGAATGAAGAATGTACATCTAGTTACGATACATGTGTACACTATAATGACAGCACTTCACTTAATGTAATATGCACATCACATAATTGCAAAATCACTTCACGTAATGTCAAGACCACCGCACAAAATATAATATGCACATCATATTTTCGTAATATACTCTTCAATAAAAGTAGGGGATATTCAGAAACGATACAAAACTGCGGAAATGCACTGCTGTTTTTATTAGAGGTAACCAGTGTATGTTGATAACAGGCCAATCTCCTACACATGAACATAAACAGTTCATATGGGCGGCTTATCTAAAGGCCCAATTTCACTTGTAAAGAGATTCACCGTCAAAAGTGAAAATGGACGTTTTTGATTTTTGTCTTAATAATGAGTAATTGCTCCACCAATCCTTAGACATTTAGCAATTCGTCGTGGCATGCTCCTAATTAACCGTCCAATCACGATTTGGGGCAATCTGACCCACTCCTCTTTCAGTGCCACGGCCAATTCTTGCAGTGTTGTCGGTTGACGTTGACGTCGACGAACACGTCTCCCGATCAAATTAAACGTAACACACTAAAGCAAAAATAGGCTAAACAGTAAATCTTATGCAAGAACCGATAGGAAAGCAAATATGGATAGATAAACCAGCACGCAGCAGTTTTCATTAACCCTTCCTTGAAGTGTCAAATTTGACAATGACCCCCCCCCCCCCCACGTGTATGGCGCTATTGCGTGTCGCATGTGCAGCTTGGTGTTTCTGTTTGGGCGATAAGTTCTTCATCTGTGAATATACTCTCAAAGCATGTCAAATGTCCATGACTATTTATCATATCGCAACCTGCATAGGTATTTGCATTTAAATATCCCCTACCTTTTTTGAAGAGTATATGTATATTGTTACTCATAGTATGAGTTACTCGGGTGGTATATTATTGCTCATCGTATAATGAGTTACTCGGGTGGTAATTAATCTGTTTAACATGTGACCTCAGATCCGCTTATCTTGTATATCTCACTCTTCGGGTAGACACGCTTCGACCAACATCTTATTGTAGACTTGTATGATTCATTAATAAACATTAAACTTATATGAGTTGTTAATGAGTTTACCAAGTATGAAGATCAATAACACATATAATGACAAACTCTCATCATGTAGCTTAATTAAAGACTACTGTGTGTAATGTAATATTCATAACATGGCATAATCACATTACAGAAGGACAATATCACATCATGGAATGAAATAACCACTGCATGTAATGTCAAGATCATCGCACATAATGACAAAAACCACCGTATTTAATGATAAATCCACCAGATGTAATGATAGAATCACTATTTGTAATGACAAAATAATCATCCACAATATAGACACATTAGGCAGTGATGGCGTTCCATATTAAATCGTCAGTTTAATTAAGATTTGTGTAAATACATTCACAGCATACGTATGTAACGTGATTACACACGTCAATGGCGTTTAACTCTACTGACTTAATCATAATGGCGGATTTATCGTCTGCACTTGAACTTGTCAAAAACAAGATGACCTGTCAATCTGGACTAATTGCACGTTGTATAACACAACATTGACAGCGTAATCTCTAATCATGGACATCTTCAAGAGATCGCGTGAACTGCTGGTGGCGTAATGTCAATGTCGCATAACCAAAGACGTAAACGAATGGGTCTCAATTATCTGATCAAATCAGGGACAATCTATCAAGTTTAAGGAGTAGAAAACTTTCTTATAATATTTAATATTTATGTGTCTCACTTGTCGAGTTCTGGCCACATTTAGATCATGGTTGTTTTGCCTAATTCTAAGAAGTATTTCTTACCATGTCTCCCAAAGCTCGTGTAGTCCGGCGGTTGGTGTAAGTTGTGGACGGTGATGGGGAGGTGGGGGAGAGGGTTGGGGACTCCAACCCCTATTTATATGCTATTTAAACGGATGAAATATAGCATTTAAACAACAAGTAACATATTTTCAGTCCATTTCCATCAACAAATTCGGACAAGAATTGTGAACCCCGAATGCCTACGCATATGCAAATCCTGTGTATGTTCAAGTTCCCGTGACACATACGGCGTCCTATGCAGTGTCCCGTGGGGCTAAACAGAGTAAGAGAAGTTTCCTAGCATGAACACGTAGCCATGGGAAATACAAATTACCATAAATAAGTATCAAAATGTCCGATGTTAATACTGGTCTCAAAACTGTAACTTACTAATTCAAACCAATTGGGCGTTTAAATCTATAATTTATCGGTCAAATAAACTAGTAATTACGAGGCCTCTGCATCACAAACTGATGTTCGCAAGTGGCTTATATGTGGCTGTGTTGGAGTTCAGTGCGTTTCTGTCTATCATTCATCGAATTCCGACTGTCAGGAGCTCT